TCGATGGGCTGGTCATATAATGAGAAGGACAGACGACAGATGGACACTAAGAACTCAGGAATGGATTTCTTGTAAAGCAAAACATTTTCGAGAGAGGCCTCGACGGATGGGCTGTGGTGTTCGTTGCACGGATGAACCAGCTGAATTCTCAGCTGGTAACGAGTAATGGACCTGGACTTCGCGAACTCGCCGCTGCACTTCAATACCAACATTACGTATGACGCTAGCGAGAGACAGGAACGGATGGAAACAGTGCTGTGGCCTGCACGACAAGTGAAGACAGGCCATATAAGTATCTAAGTATCTAAGTATTAGGCTGGGCCATAGTGAGTTTAGAGCACATTTGATTTTTACCGGCCATAGGCAAAGTATTACATCCTTGCCATGCTTTTGATTTTTTATTTCTCTTTTCGATACGATCAACACTTTATGTTAACAAAACTCACTTATAACAACAGAAAATAGCAAAACTCGATTGAATTATTAGAGCTATTCTTTGTAATATAGCTGAATTATGCCAGATGTCTCCCTATCACCTTCAATTTATGTTTTATCCAGCATAAAGCGTGTTTTTTTTCATAACGACTCATTTTACGAAGCTTCCCCTCTCCCCTTCCCTCCCCAACTCTCATCCTTCTCGCAGGGTAGAGTGTATAATGTGCATCAGGAATTGCATGAAGATTACGATCAGAGATGAGAGGCGTAAGGAGAGGAAGAGAAAAGGAGATCCCAAAAAGGGGACATGCAACGAATAGGCGATAGTAAGGGAAATAGTAGCGAGGAGTTGATTGAGCAAGTCTGTCTTTACATAGCCATGCCCTAATCTGTATGTTTTTTTTCAAGATTTAAATGCAGAATACGAGAGACTATAAGCATTGCGGACGCTTGCATTAAAAGTGTATCAGGTTTTTAGGTATTATAATGATTGCTCAGGCTTAGACACTACTATTACAGAAGTAAAAGAGGGGAATAAAGAATGCAGAATTTTAATAATTATTGATAAGTTAGCATGTTTATGTAGACAAACTTATTACAACAGTATTAAAGTGACATCCATTCCAGCAAAAATCAGGGTGTCATGCCGTAACAAATGTTTTGGAGGAGTTAAGTGCTAGTTTATGCTATCCATTTAGGAGTCGTGTAAATTCGATCAGCATCATGTCAAATACGCAGTCCACGCATACCATGTATTGTACATGCTCGACCATTTCTTTAACATTAACTGTCAAACTAGTCAAAATCACTGCAAAGAAACCCAACACTTGCAAGAGCTATTTTCAATTCTTCCATAAAACTCACCCCTGTTTCAAAGGTGTCCTTTCTGAATACAGAATCGACCTGGTGCAAGGGTGCATCCGTTGAGCGCAAATCATTAGATTTTCACTGTTATAAACTAACAAAAG